ACACCATCATCACCGTCATTTTTGATTGGACGAAATGGAGGCTCAGAAGGTACCCTGGGCTGCCTAAATTCACACTTCCATTAAAAGATTTAAAGAATAACTCAGGGAGAAGGCAAAACTCAAACAGAAGGGAAAGAACGAACATGGATTCTAGTGGATGACCAAAACCAACTGAAGCTCAAGATAGGAAAACAGGGGCACCTGGGTGGCTCCGTCGTTAAGCGTCTGCCTTCCGCTCAGGTCATGATCCCGGGGTCCTGGGATCAAGTCCCACATCGGGCTCCCTGCTCCTTGGGAAACCTGCTTCTCCCTCTCCCGCTCCCCCTGCTTGTGTTCCCTCTCTCGCTGTGTCTCTCTGCCTGTCAAATAAATAAAGAATTAAAAAAAAAAAAGACAGGAAAACAAATGGAATATGTGAATGTTAGTTGAAAATGTTCTATTTTTATTCATGAAGGATTGAGGCAGTTCCAAGGAAATGAAACCTCTCTGTGCATGGCCAGGAAGAAGCCACACCTAGCTCCCTTCTGTCTTGCAGCTTCTAAGCTGCCAAGGCTGAGGAGTTGACCTGAAATTAGTGCAGCCACAGAGAAGTCCACCGCCTCTGGGACACAAGGCTTCCCCATGCCTGGAAGACGAATGAAAACTGTCCTGGCTGTCAGTAGGAAAGGAGAACAAACCAACCATTGGCTCTTTAACTACAGTAGTGCTTATGGAAATAGGCATGATGCAGACATAATCAGCAGTCAAGTTTCAGTTTGATTTTGCTAAGAATAGTCCCTTAGCTTACCATCTTGGAGAAGCTGCCTACATCCTAATTCTGTCCTCATTCTTCAATCTACCAATGATGGCTTGTTGCTAGTTCCATCTGCTATCACCACAATCTCCAATTGACACAGAGATTGAGATATGGCTGTACGCTTATTTATTTATTTATCTCCCTATCTCCCCTTTTCTCTCTAGACCCCACTTCTACTTCTCTACCTCCCCATATGCAACCACTTATGTGAAATTTATATACACATATCCCTCTTATCTGGATGTATTGCTGCTTTATGTACATGTATTGAAATGTATGTAAACGGTACTATGTAATATATCTCATTGTTTATATGCTATAGCTTATCCTGTTTGAAAGCTCTCATACATGCTGTTTTGTGTACGCTGAATCTACTGCTTTTTTTTTTTTAAAGATTTTATTTATTTATTTGACATTGAGAGAGAAAGCGAGAGAGGGAACACAAGCAGGGGGAGTTGGGGAGGGAGAAGCAGACTCCCCACGGAGCAGGGAGCCCCATGCGGGGCTCGATCCCAGTACACTAGGATCATGACCTGGGCCAAAGGCAGATGCCCAACAACTGAGCCACCCAGGTGCCCCTGAATCTACTGCTTTTTATTGCTGCCTAGTGTACCCCATTATGAACACCCAAGTTGACCCCAACACCACAGATTTATTGCAATAACCATTATGAACTTGTCTAAGAAATTCCTCGGGATATATACACAGGGGTGGATATTGTTGGGACAGAGGGCTATATAGACATAATTTAGTTAAGCCGTGCCTAACTGATATCCACAGTGAGGACACAAATCTGAGGGGTGGGTTCCAGGGTGGAAGCCAGGGTGTGAATCATGACTACACTACTTGTTAGCTGTGTGACCTGAGAATATTACCTAACATGTCTTAGCCCATTTTCTCACTTATGAAATGAAAAAGTAGGGTACCTATCTCATAAAGTTACTATGAGAATTAAATGAAATAATAATAGATTAAAGTGCTTAGCACAGTATTTGGTACTTGGTAGGTAAATAAATATTATCACTGACTATCACCCTCTCCCCGCCAAGTATGAGATTTCTGACTCCCCAGTGGACTCTGAATCTGCACACTGGAAGGTCAGGAGAGCTAAGCCTTCTCACTGAACAGAGTAAGAGTAGAGACATCAGGTTTCATGCCCAAGGAGGTTGCATGTTTCCGGAGGAGGAAATTGAATGTGGCTTTTGGGTTCCCAGGTTACTGCTCCTTTCCCCACATCAGAATGTCCATGACAGTGTTGATATTCCACTCGGGCAAAAAAATGAATGATTACTGAAAAACAAAACCTGCCCATGAGTATCTGTTCACACCTAGTACTATATGGAACTTACATACTTCCCCTCAATATGTCATGGTCTTCTGGGAATTTTCTCCAGCCATGGTGATGGGTCTGTACCCACTTGCAGGCACGTACACTGTTAGAGTCACACTGATCTGCAGCCATGGAGCCTGCAGAAGGTGACTGAATCACATGGGGTCAGCCCATTCTCGAGCCCAGCAAAACCAGTGTTGTCCCTTGATAATCTTGTAAGGAAAGCAGACACAGAGGTGCACCACTGACATAGTCCTTCAAGAAAGAACCAACTATTTGTCTGTAAGGAGTGTGGTTGCCTGGCAGCCTCCAGCTGCGGTACTTTCAACCATCTGTCTCAGCTTCGGAGCCAAGCGCACAATGATATAAACAGTGCTGGACTGATGAGTAAACCACAGTCGGAGTACTAGGACCTGGCCATTTTATCACCACATGGGACTCCTCTGATGGGCAACCTTTACTCCCGAGCTCTCCGCAAGGTTGGCCAAGACTCAGCCAGATTTGCATTCTGGTCTGAGGTTCTCCCTGTCCAACCGTACTTTCTCACTCTTTTCTCTTTCACAGGTATTCCTCCCCAGTAAACCTACTGTACCACTGATTCCATCTCAGAGTCTGTGTCCAGAAGGACTCACTGACACAGCAAACAAAATACTACACATATTTATACAGTGCTCCCCATTCCCATTGGATAATCTGACTTCAAGAAATGTATTACTGGGCACTGTAACGACACTTGATATGTGAACACAAGAGTTTTGAACTGCACATCTTCACCAACCAAAAACGACAGGGATCTCTGAAAACAATTGACAGGTACTAGTCTATATTATCTATTTTGTGATGTGATCCAATGTTTATTAAATATGAAACATTTGTTCTACACAAGCTATTCTGCTTTGATACATTCTGTTTGTTGTTCTATCAATATGTTTTCTAAATTTAATATACATATTAGCTGGGAATGAAGATGAACAGACTGAAGATCAGAGAAGGTGTCAACATGTCAATGTAAATCATTTTATTTTAACCTTCAGATTTTGTTTAAAGGGCCAAAAACCTTATGTGTTACCACAAACTATGATTTCATACATTCTTAATTTATAAGCATAAATGGAAGTCAATTTAAAGCAATGTATCTCAACCAGGGCTGATTTTGCCTCCCAAGAGACATTTGGCAACATCTAGAGACATTTTTTGGTTGTCACAACTGGGCAGGGGCGGGGGAAGAGGGGACGGGACGACGGGACATGCTACTGGCATCTAGTGGAGAGGATAGGAATGCTGCTAAATATCTTACAAGGTCCAAAACAGTCCCCACAACAAAGAACTATATGGCCCAAAATGTCAAGAGTTCCAAGGTTGAGAAAACTTGGTTAAAATTATAGAAAAGTGTCCAATGTCCTGAGTGTTTTATTGAAAACTAAAAGTAAAAGAAATATTCTACCCACAATCTCATAGTGATATTTTGTTGTTGTGCTAATCAATATCTCCCCATTCCCTTAAAAAAAGTAATCTGGAACACGGAATAAAATAAATGATTACAATTCATTTGCCCCTTATACAAGGAAGCAATGTTTTTAAGCATATTATTCAAATATCTTAATGAGACAGAAATGCAGGACGTACATTAGAGATCACCAGAGTTCCATAACTGTCACCAAATCCTTAGGGTTTCTTTTTTTTTTTCCATTTGCTCATATTCCTTCTGTTACCTTGGTGAAATTTTTCAGGTTTGAGCATACCCTACTTTCAAGCATCCATTGCTATTATTAGTCAATGTATAATACACATACTGTTTGATTTTTTAACATAACAAGTCATGCTAGGTAAAGCCCAGTATTGAGCAGGGCAAGGCACTTTTTCTGTTAACACATGTGGCCATGTGGTAAATAATAATAATAATAATAATTTTTTTTAAATTGCGCTTTTAGGATAATTGACATTTAAACTGATCATCTGAGAGCCAAGAATATAGTATTAAGTTTAGATACTGTTAGTACATAAATCGATGCCTTAATTTTCTCATGGTTAAAGAATTTAAAACGAAAAAACTTGGGGCTCCATTTGACGGTCAAAGGACGCCCCCTGCTGAACAGAAGAGCGAAATAACGTTGAAACAGTTTAAATTCACAGGGCTCTTACACTGCATTACACCCATCACTACACGCATTTCCATACCGCTCATCCGAAAAGCTGAGTGTAAACCCCACATTTTATTTGGCTCAAAAAAAATGTGAGGTTGAATTGCGACTTGCACATTAGAAAGGTCCTATTCTAAAAGATCACCCGGAAAATCTCTAAGTATTAGCAGCATGACATGACAACTAACACTCTTAAAATTAACAAACTGAGCTTTACTTAACACTGTATTTTTGTTCTATCAAGTCCCTTCGCTTTAATGATATGTGACTCTCTATCAGGGAGAGCCAGTTATCCTTTCAGTCAGTGGTTACTATCGATCCTAGAAGTTTAAGTTCTCAAAAGTGATAGTAAATTGCCAGCCGACAAAAATAATTCGGATTAATTAAACAGGAACCAAGGAGTCTAAGGGCAAGAAAAGTTCGTTCATCTCCCAGTCTCGCCCTCCTGATCCAGAACTGGTTGTAAATTAAATATCCCCTTACTTTGCAGATGCCAAAACGCTGGTCTGAATGGTACCCACCCCAGGACACTCAACCTAAAATATATCTTTGCAGCTCCACTAAATGCCTGTCAAACCCTGAGAGGTGTGTGTGTGTGTGTGTGTGTGTGTGTGTGTGTGTGTGTGTGTGTGTCTGGATGTGTTAGCGTGAGCCTGTGCGCCTCGGTCTCCGTCTCCCTAAGGCCGAGTCCGGAGGCTCCGGGAAGCAGGTGTCGCGGGGCACCTGCTCTTACCTGGGCTCCGGCGAGAAGGCAACCGCCGAGCAGCAGCCACCCCCAGACGTAGGGCGATGCTCCCGGGCCGGCCATGCCCGGACCAGCCCGAGCGAGAAGCAGGGACGCTCTCCCGGAGCCCGGAGGGGCTCCCCACTCGCAACTTGGGCCGGTGCTGGGCAAACTTGTGGCCGGGAGCGCGGCGCAGCTGGGGCGGCTCGGAGCGCGTGTCGGATCTCGGTCCCGCGCGCCGAGGCCCGCGCCTTGGTCGGGTCTGCAGGGGAGAGCGGTCCCGCAAGGCCCGCGTGGGAGGAGGGGGCGGGCGGACCCTACGGATCCCCGCGCGCCGCGCGTGGTTGCAGGACGGGCGGGGAAGCGCTCGCGCTCCTGCTCAGAGTCACCGCGTCCTGCAGCCCAGGGGACCCGAGGGCAACGGATCCCGAGCGCTGCTGTCGCCACCCCCAGCTCGCGCCGTCTCTACTTCCGTCCGCTCTGTACCGGGTTCCGACCCCCTGTCTCTAGGGGCGCCCTGGGTCCTCAGGGAGTGGTCTGAAAGTTCGCTGCTGTCCAGCCGCGCGCAGTGACTACCAGTCACGGGAGGCCCTGGATAGTGTGGTTGAAGGCTTCGGAGGCCAGGCGGGTGCTGCACCTGCGGCTGTGTGCGGAGCAGTCTCCGCAACCTTCTCAAGTTCTCCGATTCCCTTTCTCCTAACCATTATTAATAGCTTGTGTGTGTGTGTGTGTGTGTGTGTGTGAAAGAGAGAGAGAGAGATTGAGAGAGAAGGAAGGAGGGAGGGGATTCTATCCCAGCAGAAATTTCTGGATCAAAATTTCTTTGAATCATTTTGTGAGTTTGGGATCTAGGTTTCATTGAAAGACAACTAATATTCGTTTATAGGTGTGTGTGTATGTGTGTGTGTGAAAGAGAGAGAGAGAGAGATTGAGAGAGAAGGAAGGAGGGAGGGAGATTCCATCCCAGCAGAAACTTCTGGGTCAAAATTTCTTTGAATCATTTTGTGAGTTTGGAATCAGGGTTTCATTGAAAGACAACTAATATTCGTTTATAGGTGTGTGTGTGTGTGTGTGTTTAGATATCTTCATTAGGGGTGTGTGTGTGTGCATGTGTGTATGTGTGTGTTTAGATACCTTCATTTGGGACAAAGCCTGTTCCTTTATTTTTCTTATAGGCGTAATCATCAAGATGCCAGAGAACTTCTTTAGAGACATTGAGTCCGGGAATATTTAGTCTCTCAGGATCTGATCCAATTGGGAAAGAATGATTCCCACAGACAAAACACAATAATTCCCTCTCCTCTTGACAATGAGGATCTGAGGTTTGTCACCATCAGCTTTCATATGAGTGCCAAAGTGTGAAAACTGGGTTTGCTTTTAAAACTTCTAGATTATTAATGGTTGGCCACCCTAAAACCCTAGAAAGGGATAATTTTTATTTCTATTTCTACATGTCTGGAATGTTCACTCCTATCTCTATTTTAATAGCATTGTTTATATTATGTGTATGTATTGTGAACAATCTCATGCTTTTTGGAAGAAGCAAAATCTAAATTATACAACATATGCACAGGCACACACTAGTAAAATTACCAAGTAAAATTCACTTTCTACCTATTCAATCAAAGATTTATAGCACTATCTATGGTGACTATTACCTAAAGTCTTCAGTTTGATTAAATTACTTAGAACTACTAACTGTTACATTATCTTACTCAAGCAAGAAAATAATGGTAATATTATAAGACTGATAGATTAGATATCTATCAGTATAAAGCATTAAGTACTTTATTACATTGCAGTTACTCTTTTAAGTACTTTACATAAAATTAACTAATCTTTCCATTAACCCTGTGAGATAGGCATTATTGTTATCCATATTTACAGATGAAACAGTAAGTCACTTGCCCAAGGTCAAGGTAGTCTATCATTGTGGCACTACTAATCATGTGTTCTTCTATTTGTGCAAAAGTATTATTACAGATTTTTTCCATACTCCTTAGGCCTCACAAAACCAGAAACACTTTTCCAGCCAGTTTTTATTTTCATTTTTTTGTTTTTTCATCCTCCTTTAACCAGAGAATAATTTACTGTGCATTATGGCATTGGTTCTGAGCCAGGGACAATTTTGTCCCCCAAGGGACATCTGGCAATGTCTGGAGACAGTTTTGGTTGTGTCATATTTTTGGTGTGTCACACTATACATTACTAGCATGTAGTGGGTAGAGGCCAATGATGCTGCTAAATATCCCACAATTCACAGGACAGTTTCTTGTGACAGAAATATCTGTCCCAAAATGTTAACACTGACAAGGTTGAGAAACTCTGCATTATAGCAAAAGGGTACCCACAATTGTTAGCTGTTTATTAACTAGTCAATAAAATAAGATAGGCCTATACGTTGGAACTTACAATCAATTTGTGTGAAACTTATGCTATTCAAATCATTCATTCCTACAAAAGGTAAAAATCAACAGGCTCTAGACTAGAATATTCAAAGTTTTGAAGATATTAAATTATGCTAATTGAAAAAGTTGCATAAAATAAAAAATAATTACACAAACTGCTGTGATATCATCAGGATATTTGTTGACTCTTGTCATAAAATATATAATTGCTGATATTATGGGTAAACTTGGAATAATTAGTTAAGGTTAGTTGTAAACTGATAACTTAAAAAAGAAAAAAACCTTTAGGGGTGCCTGGGTGGCTCAGCTGATTAAGCATCTGACTCTTGATTTCGGCTCAAGTCATGATCTCAGGGTCATGAGAACAAGCCCTGCACAGGGCTCTGCACTTAACAGGGAGTCTGCTTGAGATTCTCTCCCTCTCCCTCCACTCCTCCCCCTGCTCATTCTCTCTCTCTTTCTCAAATAAATAAATCTTAAAAAAAAAAAAAACCTTTATGCAAAGTCGATGGAGTAACTTACCCAACAAATCTCTTTGCAAATGACATCTCGTCAATCCTTAAAATCAATGAAAGACAATGACAGTTCTGATCATCCCCATTCACAAATGAAAAAGAGGATCTTGATCATTAAGGGACTCAATCCCAAGAAAAACACAGCCCCAAGGAAATAATGTGATTTCTAGCAGTTTTATTTTGTGTTTTGCTATTGTTTATTTGTTCATTGCTGTCTCTTGTAGCTTCACTATGTCACATACTAACCTGTATCATGATTAGCTGGCGTGCTTGTTAAGAATACGTTTATAGCAGCAATGTCCACAATAGCCAAACTGTGGAAAGAGCCCAGATGTCCATCACAGATAAATGGATAAAGAAGATGTGATATATAGATACAATGGAATATTAGGCAGCCATCAAAAGGAATGAAATCTTGCCATTTGCAACGACGTGCATGGAACTGGAAGGTATTATGCTGAGCGAAATAAGTCAATCAGAGAAAGACATGTATCATATGATCTCACTGATATGAGGAATTCTTAATCTCAGGAAACAAAAATGAGGGTTGCTGGAGGGGGGGGGTGGGAGGGATGGGGTGGCTGGGTGATAGACATTGGGGAGGGTATGTGCTATGGTGAGTGCTGTGAATTGTACAAGACTGATGAATCACAGATCTGTACCTCTGAAACAAATAATACATTATATGTAAAAAAAAAAAAAAAGAAGAAGAAGATAGCAGGAGGGGAAGAATGAAGGGGGGGGAATCGGAGGGGGAGACGAATCATGAGAGACGATGGAGTCTGAGAAACAAACTGAGGGTTCTGGGGGTGGGGGATGGGTTAGCCTGGTGATAGGTATTAAAGAGGGCAGGTACTGAATGGAGCACTGGGTGTTATACGCAAACAATGAATCATGGAACACTGCATCAAAAACTAATGATGTGATGTATGGTGATTAACAACATAATAATAAAAAAATAAAATAAAATAAAATAAAAATGCACATTCTTGAGCTTCACCTCAGACCTGCTGAACCCCAACCTCCAGGGCTAGGGTTTGGAAAGCTACATTTTTCAAGCTCTGGGGTAATTCTCATACAAGATCAAGTTTCAGCAGCATTGTCTAGACTGATCAGTACACACAGCTGGTGGACTTACAGGCAGTTGTGAGGTCTGAGAGCCCAGTACTTGTCTTCCATAAAATGTTCACTATCCTCTGCAATGAAGGGGCAGGGGTCATGGGTCAACAGTCTACTTTGTAAGGTGGAGATTTGGGGACAGTAGGCTGTTAGCCCAGCTTCGCCACAACTGCACAAGAACAGCCTTATTGTATGGAAGGCTGCTTTTGTTTCTGTTGTTGTTTTTCCATTTCTGAGTATAGGTATCTTTCCATGTTTTCAAGCTGTGCTTCTGTCTTTGTATTTGCTGAGGAGGACCAAAGGCTCTGAAGCCCTGCTTTGCTTTCTCAGGCTCCAGGGCTCCTTGCTGAGCTTCTCCTGAGCAGACCCACACTCACTGCCTCTAGGGACTAACTAGAGAAGCTTTATTCTGGGAGCAAAGATCCCTGCCATCAGCTGCTCTGTATTTGGGGAAAGGGCAACTAAAATGTTAAAATAATTAATTAAATTGAGATTAATTAATCAATGTAATTTAATTGCCTTAATGGCTTCTCTAAGTTCCTTCAAGCTTTTTGATCCCAAGCATGTGTGGTTTTGCTGCTGTTGTTTTATGTGTCTGTAATTGTGTCTCCCTGTGTGTATCTGAGTGTGAGTGTGTGTGTGAGTCTGTGACTATGTGTGTTTGCAGTTGTTTTTGCTTTTAATATTCCGGGAATTTCTCAAAAATTTTAGTGTACCAATCTCATTCTTCGAGGTTTTCCAATATGATGAAGTTTGATTCTTTAAAAATACGCAGTTGACCTCTAAACAATGCAGGGGTTAGGGGCACTGACCCTTATTCAGTCAGAAATCTGTGTATAACTTTTGACCCCCCAAAAACTTAACTACCAATAGCTTCCTGTTAGCCAGAAGCTTACCAATAACGTAAACAGTCAACTAACACATATTTTGTATGTTATATGTATTAAATACTGTATTCTTACAATTAAGTAAGCTAGAGAAAAGAAAATGCTATTAAGAAGATCATAAGGAAGAGAAAATGTATTTCCAGTGTTGTATTTAT